CGCATCCCACTCTCGGACCCAGCCACCGCCTCCGCCCCCAGTCCAAACCACCTCCACCACCCCGAGACCCAACCACCGTCGCCCCGCTTCCCCCACCGCGCCGCCCCTACAGAACCTCTGGTTGTAGGTCGCGCCCTCCTCCCGCATAGCCTCTTGCTCGCCTACTGTGACCCCTATTCCCTCGTCAACCTCGCTTGAAGCCTGAACTGACTACTGCTCATCTCTCATCTCTCTACTGTTGCTGCTCTTTTTTGTCTCATGAAGTTCAGACAGATTGTCGGCGAAATCAGCGACGCAATTCCAGTAAATTATGATGATCCATCTGGGCAGGCAAGTAATTACGCTGATAGTGCCCCCATCTATGCTTGTATGCCTTTTTCAGTTCACCTTGTAGTGTTTTTTTCAGCACACAATATAGGATTTTATTCAGTTCAATGAATTCCAATAGAAAAAACTGCGGTTGTGTATTGATTCTTGAATTTGCGTTTCTTCTTGCAATTTGCTATATGGAGCAAAAGTGGTACAATGATGATTCAGCTTGGGTGGGGTCTCAAAGCCGGAGACATAATAACCAGTTATTTAGACCTTTCAATCACACAATCACTTGCGAACGACTGCTTTTCTTTACACCAATTATTCTGAAAAATTTCAAATTATGAAAGCAGATAAGTCCAGGGTTCACCGATAGAAGTTTGAAAAAAAGAGATAAAATAAAAGAAGAGTTCGGAAAATGCGCTAGTACTGGTTGCTACTGCCTGCTGTTGCATGAAGCCCCTACTACTTGAATTGGTGTGCTGCTATTGTTTGTTGGTTCAGCAGGGTGATGTGAGTGTGTGGGAGAGATAGCAAAATGGAATGATCTTCTACATTGACTAAATCATGGCACACTCAGTTCAATTTCTTGATTTAGTCCAGTTCAATTCCTAATTTTGTTTCAGTTCAAAGACTGCTATCTCTCTCAGTTTCTATGTTTAATTACGAAGTCATGTACATTAACATCAAATAAGTTCAAGTATATCAATATATGGAAGTTCAGGTATATAGAATTTGATGCTTATTGGGTGTATATAGGAGTATAAATGGATTTTCTTCTTATTGAATGAAGTTGAACTTGTTCTGCCTCTGAACTTCTACCTCTTTCTCGCAGGTGGGTCACAGAAGCTATCATATCTCTTTCCGAACCTTTTTTCTCTAGAATTTATTTTCTGCCTGTGCGTCGGGTAAAATAGTACCACAATGAGCTAGCCCCCCTGGCCAGTAGATTTCTTTCTTTTTGTGTGTTAGTTCCTAGCTAATACGGTTACACTGCATTTTGCCATTCTATGAGAGAAAACAAAGAAATCAACGACGCAATGGTGATGTCTGGCCTTTCCCCTTTCTCTTTTTATGTAGCCTCCGAGTCGAAGTTCACCTCCATGTGCTGCTCCACTCGTAGCTCCCAGCCTACCCTCGAGCAAGTTTGTGCCGTGCACGAGATCAGTTCAACCTGTGCACTTGGTACGTTTGTGGGAATGTCTGAGCAAAAAGAGAAACGATATTTTTTTGTGCAACATTTCGACCTTGCATCCCATGAGTTCCTGATTTTCTTTTGTGCAACAGTTCGACCTTGACGCTTGTGGCAGTCCCACAAGGACGAGTGTGGTCTACGATCGAGTAGTTGGTTCCGAAGCAAGTTCCTGGCTGAAGGTGGGATTCCACATTGAGGTGTGGAACGCAATGTACATGGAGATCCTGATGGAGTATGGTGATGGTGATGTGGCGCAGGTGGACCTCATGGAGTTCGGCTGGGCTGGCGGCGGTCGGCGGTGGACGCGGGTGCATGAGTTGTGGGGCTCCATCTGCCGCTCGACCACCGCTTACTCCCACCCTGTTCACTGGTTTTGTTTTCACTGTCACGCCTGTTCCTCGTCGACCTGCAGCAGGAGACACGAGATCACCTCCGGCACCGCTGGTCACATGAAGGTCGTCAAAAATGGTATATTTTCCATAAAAATAGTTGTTTGCTATATATATTCTCTATTATTGAATTATAGCACAAACATTTGCTGAAACGGGGTGCTCAAGACGTCTATTTTAATTCCCGAAACACAAACTAGGTGCTCTTAGTTCAGTACGTGAACAATCATCAGTTCATGAAAAATACATATAACATGCCTTGTTGTGTGGGATTTGGGGGGTGCCTAGTATGGCTAGAGTTTTCAAGTATAACAAGTGTGATAGTGGTAATTTTCCAAAACTTTAACAGTTCAAGTACATAAGAAAACATAAGTCCACCCTGTAAAAACAACAGTAGGCGCAGAAAGTTCAATTTTACTATATGCGATTGATAATGCAGATGTGTTCTTTTGTGGTGAGGATTTCGGCACTAAACTATGCAAACAATTTAAAAGTACTCAAGTCCATCTTGCAAACCCGTAGCAGTCCTATAGTGCAACATGCATCAAATTCAAAAACAGTAAACCTGACTTGAAGAAAATTTGCATCTGGTTGTTTATTTTGTAGCTCATCGTTTCTAATATAAGCCAATGCTTCTATTCTAATCTAGTTGTTTATTTTGTAGATCATGTTTTCTAATACAATGTTAAAAGTCCACTAGATGAAAAATTCATTGTGTTAGCTAGATCAGTACGAGTGCTCATTAGTAAGACAAAAGTAGCAGTAATCATTACGACTTACACAATACTAGTACTGATCAATACTATATAGAGCCAAGCTTCACTATGGATATTACTGACCATAGGAATTTATTAGAATAATTTAATGTTTTTGTAGCTCACCTCTAATTTGTTTCTCTCTACTGCTCTTTTCTCTCACTATTTTGTTTCTCTCTATACTGCAGCACGAGAGAGGTTTGGATGGACGCTAATCACTAGCTCACTATGACACAACCGATCACTAGCACGAAGGACACCAGCAGGTTGAGGATGAAGTACATGACACAAACAATGAGACGACCAAAACATGGAATCCGTACACATAGCACCAACTGCAAATTCAAATTTTCTTTCTATGATGATTTGATTGCTACTTCTTAAAGATAGTGTACATAACAGTTAGATATTTGTGCAAGAAAGGAAAATTTGTTTGAAATAAAAACATTGATCAGTACGAATCAAAAACAATGATTAGTTCGATAGTGCTCTCTCCTGACTATTTTGGTTGATGCCATAAATAGTGAAAAATTGTATGGGAATGTTTAATTATTACTAGCATGTAAGTTCAAAAAAATAAAACATAGTCAGTTTGTCTATAAAATTTGAGGAAGTCAGTCAATGGCCGGAGGAAAATAACATGCCCTTTAGGTGTTGTCACTATTCCTGTGAGCACAAGTTTTGAAAAATGTTTACTTTGTGCTCTTGCATATGTTTTTGGGCAGTACAAATACATCGCCATAGTGAGTACAGATGCAACTCCTTGGGAAGTACTAACACTGCCGTGCTGGGCATTCAGTGTGCAGGGTCCACTGGGTTCCGTCCTGAGAGAAGCATCGCCGGCTGGGAGAGTTCAATGATCTGAACTAGGAAAGTTCAACGTGGAAATTTGCTACAGATTGCATTACTTGAGAATTTTTTTTCTAACTGGGTGCAAATGAGCCTGGGCACTGAAACGCCCTACTCACTCTTTATGGACTTCTTTGTATTTTGTGAATAAATGTTTATATAATAAATGCTCACATAGTATCTTCCCATGGTTGTACAAGTAAACATACACTAAGTGTAGACGTTCACTATGTGCTTTATCATCATTTAAGAAAAAAATGTCGGGTGAGTTCAAACTAGAAAGACAGATAAGTCCAAAACCCGCACAGCAAAAAAGTTTCACATGCGAAAGAAAATGTGGCACTTCCACATGAAGTTAATAAACAAGGGTTAGAAAAAAGGATGTTTATATAAAAAAAGTGCTCAAAAGTTCAATTGCTCTCCATGTGAACGTTCATACACTCTATTTCCAAAAGAGAGTGCACATTTTACTAGGAGAAAACTTGGGTAAGTTCAAGGACAGAAAAACCGGAACTTCAAAATCGACAAAATAGCAGTGAGGAATACAAAGTAAAGTCCTATTTGTGAAAGCAATGAGCAGCACAATGCAGAGGAAGGCCTGGACATAAACGGAGGGGACAGTCTAAGCTGTTGTGCCTGAACTAGTCCTTGACAAGAACATCTAAATTCAGTAACACATACACACCTTGTAGCCGTACAGGCCTGTCATGCTGCTGGCAGATGCCTTGCCTGAGCAGGGGACCGCTGTCCACCGGAATTTTCTCCTCTTTCCTTTTCTTCGTTCTTCCGGAGAAACAGAGAGAGCGGACGAGAGAAAGGGGAGCAGGCCACCATTGATCCATCCCTCGCTAGTCGCTACCCGCACCCACTAATCATCGTCGTAGCCTGCCTCCGGCTGTCGTCGATGCACTCCTGACTCTGATTTCATCCCCACCCATCGTCTCTTGGTCGCATTCGTCCTCACAACACTGTGGTGTGCCACCACTTTCTTGCAAGGGGTTCGGCCTATAGCCCCGAGAAGCCGCCGTCTGTTGCATCTCTGTCCCATCCCTAACTCTCTGATGCCCCTCCCCTTTCAAGCCTCTCTCCTTCTTCCCACAAGATCGCCATGCCTGATGGGATGGCTACTGAGTCACGAAGGGACAGTCAATGGTGGATGAGGAGATAGACGCCACAATCACGGACTCCATCACTTCCTCTTCCACGGAAGATTTCCTACCCGCACCCCTCCTTCCTTGCAAGTCGATGGTGCCATCATGTTGGAGACGACTATTGGTCTTGCGTTTCTTCAATCTCTTCTCCTTGCTACGTGCTAGATCCGTGGGGATTTAATTTGACCGTGGCGCCCTTGATGCCTTGCTATTCGACACGTTACCTCGCCGGTGCCTGCTACTGGTGTGACCATGTTGATTTGAGACGAGGTGCGAGCAGCGCGGCAGAGACGTTGAGCGTGGGGATGAGCCCCTGGTGAGGCTAAGCTTCATGACGATCGTTGTGTACACCACGCTGATATGTCTCCAACGCATCTATAATTTATGAAGCATTCATGCTATTTTATTATCTGTTTTGAATGATTACGGGCTTCATTATACACTTTTATATTACTTTTGGGACTAACCTATTAACCGGAGGCCCAGCCCATATTGCTGTTTTATTGCCTGTTTCAGTATTTCTATGAAAAGGAATATCAAACGGAGTCTAAACGGAATGAAACCTTTGGCAGCCTGATTTTTGGAACGAATGTGATCCAGGAAACTTGGAGTGCAAGCCGGGGAAGCATCGAGGAAGCCACAAGATAGGGGGGCGCGCCCTCCACTCTTGTGGGCCCCTCGAGGCTCCCTCGACCGACTTCTTTCGCCTATATAAGCCTACGTACCCTAAAAACATCGATACAGAAGATAGATCGGGAGTTCCGTTGCTGCAAGCCTCTGTAGCCACCAAAAACCTCTCGAGAGCCCGTTCTGGCACCCTTCCGGAGGGGGGGGATCCCTCACCGGTGGCCATCTTCATCATCTCGGCGCTCTCCATGACGAGGAGGGAGTAGTTCACCCTCGGGGCTGAGGGTATGTACCAGTAGCTATGTGTTTGATCTCTCTCTCTCTCTCTCTCGTGTTCTCTCTATGGCACGATCTTGATGTATCGTGAGCTTTGCTATTATAGTTGGATCTTATGATGTTTCTCCCCCCTCTACTCTCTTGTGATGAATTGAGTTTTCCTCTTGAAGTTATCTTATCGGATTGAGTCTTTAAGGATTTGAGAACACTTGATGTATGTCTTGCCGTGCTTATCTGTGGTGACAATGTTATTTCATGTGCCACTTGATGTATGTTTTGGTGATCAACTTGCGGGTTCCGCCCATGAACCTATGCATAGGGGTTGGCACACGTTTTCGTCTTGACTCTCCGGTAGAAACTTTGGGGCACTCTTTGAAGTACTTTTGTGTTGGTTGAATAGATGAATTTGATATTGTGTGATGCATATCGTATAATCATGCCCACGGATACTTGAGGTGACAATGGTGTATCTAGGTGACATTAGGGTTTTGGTTGATTTGTGTCTTAAGGTGTTATTCTAGTACGGACTCTTGAATAGATCGATCCAAAAGAATAACTTTGAGGTGGTTTCGTACCCTACCATAATCTCTTTGTTTGTTCTCCGCTATTAGTGGCTTTTGAGTGACTCTTTGTTGCATGTTGAGGGATTGTTATATGATCTATCTATGTTATTATTGTTGAGAGAACTTGCACTAGTGAAAGTATGAACCCTATGCCTTGTTTCCTATCATTGCAATACCGTTTACGCTCACTTTTATCGTTAGTTACCGTGCTGTTTTTATATTTTCAGATTACAAAAACCTATATCTACTATCCATATTGCACTTGTATCACCATCTCTTCACCGAACTAGTGCACCTATACAATTTACCATTGTATTGGGTGTGTTGGGGACACAAGAGACTCTTTATTATTTGGTTGCAGGGTTATTTGAGAGAGACCATCTTCATCCTACGCCTCCCACGGATTGATAAACCTTAGGTCATCCACTTGAGGGAAATTTTCCACTGTCCTACAAACCTGTGCACTTGCAGGCCCAACAACATCTACAAGAAGAAGGTTGTGTAGTAGACATCAAGCTCTTTTCTGGCGTTGTTGCCGGGGAGGTGAGTGCTTGAAGGTATATCTTTAGATCTTGCAATCGAATCTTTTTGTTTCTTGTTTTATCACTAGTTTAGTTTATAAAAGAAAACTACAAAAAAATGGAGTTAAGTTTGTCTCATATGCTTCGTCTTTTTAATATCTTTCGTGAGTATGATGGAAATGAAAATTATGCTCAAGTGCTAGAAGAAGAATGCATTAAAATGCTTGGTACTAAATCTTTGAATGATGAGCATGATTGCAATGTTGTTAGTATGAACTCTTTGAATATCCATAGTACTAATGATGATTGCACTAGTTATGATGAAAATGTCTCTTATAAGCATGTTGATTTTTGTTGAGTAGAATGGGTTTGCATGGACACACCAAATAGAGAAAATAGATATTGCAAGAG